AATACCTGCTCTGTGAGGGTCAGTGGGGGTCCTGACCACTGAAGAACAGGGTTAAATGGGGCTAACAAAGTATGCAGAGAAACAGCTGGACTACAGTCTGTAACTGTAGAACTACAAAGTGCACCTATATAGTAAGCGGAGCTGATAAAATGGACAATGAGCGTAGAAACAAGGAGGTGGTCATAATGTTATGCCTGATCGGTGTATATATGGTAAAACATGACCAGTATTGCTTAAGATTGAGGGCATCAAAATCCTCCACAGACCTGATAAATGTTGTTCCTTACTAGGCCTCTGACTTATCTGTACCATTACTTGGAAATTATGCTTCATAACTCTGTTATATACTGTAAATGTCCATCACTTTAGTCTTAATATTGGTCACAAGATTCATTGGCTTGGTGGCCCAAGTGGCCAGTGCAAATGTTCATATCTGTCTACCCCTGGTTTTACGACTGTTATGTTGGGGTTAGAACATGAGATGTTCTGCTTAGAGTAAACTGATTATTTTTCTGTTCTGGACTCTAACATGGACAATTTCAATAATGGAAATGGAAATGCAGTTATAAATCAATTAAGCCATTCCACTGAACTGGAACATGCTGAAAGCTCAAAGAAGTAAAGCAAAAAGGAAACTGAATTTGTTTGTTGTCTAAATGTGCTGCCTTTTAAGTCATGTTGATGCTGATGTGTTCTAGTAAGCGAAGCGGGGGGGGTTGAGAATGGGAAGAATTTTCCAAACTGGACAGTTCCTGATCCCATGGCTCCAGTGGAGCTTAGGGGACATACACAGACACACACAAACACAGAAGAGTCCAACTGATAAAACTCGGTTGCTGACGGCTATAAAAAGACTGCAGTTTCCCACAGACACACACGGCACATACTGCCGCCAAATATAGATCAGCTAAATCAACAAAAGTAAAAGCGGATTCTTACTTAGTGAGAAGAAGCAGAAGAATGATGGATGAATACGTTAGCGCAGGGGGAAAAGCTTCATGTGTAATTACATTAAAAACCCTCTTCAAGGAGAGAAGCCAACTGAAGGCATAAACAACCAAAGCAGTCTTATGAGGCTGCTGCGCATGTGACTTGGGTTTAATGTTGTTTATGATGGCTCTTGCATTTCCCCGTAATTGCTAGTGTTGCCACTTTTCAAATTCTAAAAGGAAGGCTCTCTGCTTACTCACTAATGCAATATGTGAAGGACCCAGCTGAGTGAAACCTGAATCCAAGTATTTCAGAGCTTTTTGGAAAATGTTTAGATTTTAGTGACATTCATTCTGTTTCATTTTGATATTCAGTTAATGAATGGATATTTAACTCACCACAGAGAAGAACAAGAAAACATTACATTATCGTTAATAATAACATTTAGTAGCTTGCGATCAAAATACACATGTACACCGTGTACTGGTGCTAGCAAGCTAAAACGTCAGTTGCACGAAGGAAAATACAACGGCAAGCAAAGGTGTACATGTGAGAACATGGTTTATTATTTAAAAGCAGCCAAGGGAAAATATCTGAAACCATTTTTGTGTCTCCTACAGCTTGACACAAACAGAGGCTGCTTTTTCAGATGAACTAATGAGGTTCGGCTAACACCAGAGCTAACCGGTTCAGCAGTAGGCAGTGACTCATGGGCTTCTACTTAGGGTTTTTTCTCCTCAGTGGGTGCCAATATGATGGTCTGTCAAGAGAAGCATCTTTTCACTGTTTTCGGTTCTAGCTCATTCCAGCTACAACAATTAGCCTAGTTACAGCCATGCTATCTAGGCCTGCTCAATCATGTCCTTAATGACATGTCCTTAGTAAAGCGCTCATGTTAAAGCTCACGCGTGTTTCATAACAGCAAAGTAGCTATAATATAATGTACTTATACTTATTCGCATATATGAGCAAAACTAACACACTTCACATCCCTGTTAAAACTTTTCACCGAATTTTAGGCCTGTATATTTTTTCCCTTACTGTTCATGATGCAGAGTAACAAATACCAGTATATTAACCCCTTAAAATCCCAGGCTGATTACATACTTAGGACTATTATTCAGGAACTACGGGGACTTCAATGCACACTGGCTGAGATATTCTAAGGATATCTAAGTATGTAATAAATCTTTGGGCCCGCCTGTGGGTCCTGGCCATTTAAGGGGTCAAGTATTCAAGGGGTTATTATTCAAAAGCTATCACCTAGAACAGTTACACTAATGTAATTCAGGGGAGGATAGATGGGGACATGTTCCCTCCACCTTTTGAAATAATGCTGCAATTTTGGGAGTTGCAAGATGGTTGTCAGGATAGTATATAGCTGAGTTGCATAAAAAAAGCTGTCACATATCAATTATTATATAGCTGTTATTTATTCCCATGCATTTTCAAATTCAAATTAGATTATAAATTGTTGTTTTGTTTAGTTATAGTCAGTAATGACAAAAACAAAGAAGCACTGCCCTGCCTACCTGTTACAAATGGAACTGTTTTCTTCACTGTTCTATGATTATTCGCTGACATACGCAACATATTATTAACGGTCCTTTTTATTTATGCTTAATTATCATCACATTGATCATTATTGAAATATTTTGCTTAAATATTTATGCAAATCTGACTAACAGTTGTGACACAATGAAAAGAAAAAAAACATGCCATTATAATACGCAATAAAATTGAATATCTATACTGGATATGAATGCCATTACTATTCCTGTTAATGACTTCCTTTGTTTTTGTCTTTTAATATTTACATACATATCATATTTAGCATTAGATATTAATATATAATATAACTCTAACTGCAGATGCATTTTGTTTACTTAGTATAACATTTGAATTCTCATATGTGGGCTATACCTTCCCCCCACTTGTCAGATCAAATATGCACCACTGAACAGTTAACCTCATCAAACCGAACCTCGCCCGTTATCCATTCTGAGACTTTGTCTTTGCCCACTTTAACTCAATAACTTAATATCTACTGCTACAATAGTTGGGCTGCATGCATGTTCAAGTCGGCCACAGTAAAATGTTTAACATACAGAATCAGATTTTTCTGTGTGCTGCTGTGTTTCCTATCACTGCGTAAAAGATACACAAGGTTTCCTTTACTACTTCATGCACTGTGATTTTTCCGAGCGAGTGTGCAAACTTATTCACAGCACAGTTCGGAATGCTAGGCGCTCATTATTGTTTTGTTTCATCAAAGTAACAATAACACGAGACTGAATGTTTCCCTATTCATGCATTTCTTGTTCAAAGTGGTAATTTGTGACCCAAACTGATTAAAAATCTATGCATTTTGGCTTTGCTGGATCTCATTACTTACAAATCATATAAATGCAACAACAGTTTGAGAAGCCATTCTTTTAGCGGCAGCCAAAAACAGTTAATCAAGAACCCGTGCAAACCTGTATTACATGTATTCATTTATCGGACGCTATAATCCAGAGCGATTTACAAAATGTGTAAGGACAGGAACTTTAAAAAAAACTTGCTCTGCTGTCAATATAACATGCACTTCTCATTAAAAGCAGTACAAGTTTGCGGGTAATTACTCAAGAACTAAGGCTAGCAACTCTGCCTGTTGCTGCCAGGTTGTCTCTTGTGGTTGCTGAGTTGTCGATGCACTTTCAGTTAGCCTGCTGTGAACATTATAATCTCTCAAGTTGCCAAGGTAATTAAGTAGTGAGCAAAGTTGCTCCAGGATGACTTGTTTTTCATTGTGTGAGGGCTGACAGTTCAGCTTGAGCTGAGAGGAACGGCACTCCTGCACTTCAGAGAAGATAAAGGCACTTTTTATGGCACTGTACCAGTGCTTCCCAATCCTTGACCATAAGTACCCATACTGCATATTATAATGCCTACCTGGCTCTAAAACATCTGGTCCAACTCACTGGCTAAGTACAAAAGCCACAGAGTCGAAGCAAAGTCCTGACAGAAAAGTCGGTCCACACAGAGGCCTCTAATAAAAGTAAAGGGACCTCACATAACAGAGACAAAATCTGTTCCATGAAATTTCCATGAAAAAATTTTCTGACCAAATGACAGCCCCTCACATGAGGTGACCGTCTTCTTTCCTAAGTTTCCATAGTAATGAGTATTAGATCCCTCCCCTGGATAAACTGTAAACTTGATCAACTCAAATTTATAAAGTAACTGTACAATCCAAGGCACTGAGCCGCTCTGCTCTCTTTAAAACTGAACAAGATTAAGGCTTGAGCACGTCTCAAAGTGAGAAACTTTACATACTTTTGACTTTAAATCAGCAACAGCCATAACGACACAGAGAAAAAAAATGCTGTTAAATGTGTTTCTGTTGGCAAATATTAATTTTAGGCTATTCAAACCTGTGACGACTAGTTTATCACATGGTATGATAATAAGACATTTTTGCAAAACCACCAATATATGAGCAGAATTTTTATCAGTTTGGTATTACTTTGTATGGGACCCACCAGATATAAATCACACAATATAACAAATCTGCCTCCTGACAATGAAATCATTTTTACTGCCTAAATAATATACTTTTGTTAATCAGCTGAGAAAAGACAGGCTATTAGACCTATCTGCAGTGTCTTCTCATCAGCTTCTACTTACACTTGATATGAAGCTAAAAGACTCCTGTCTCATAATTCATTGTGAAAAAAAACTGATAGTTTACCATCAGTTTAAGATTTTCTGAAGTAACAGTAAGAACTTAAAAGTTTACCAGTGTTTAAATTGTTAGTGTCCTAACACTTTTTGACCTTTCCATTTCTGGAATAGAAATGATTACTTGGTCCGTTTTACTATTACTATTTACTATTATGATCACTTTTTTAATTTGTTCTTCAAAGCTGGTCTCTGGTTGAAGTGAGTGTGAAGAGCAGGGGAAACATTAGAATGTGCAGGGCAGGGGTACTCAGGGAACAGGGCTGGGACAAAAAGTTTAGAAAAAAGAACAGGCCTGATGAAGTCTTCAGCACTGCTAATGCTCCCCAGAACCTGACAGGACTCACCTGGCCTGGGGTTTGCCCTTCAGAAGCCCCTGTCTCCTCCAGCGTGGGTGAGGGCTCAAATGGTAGGTCAGCTGACGACAGACCTTCTCCATGGCGCTCAAAGAATCACCCTCCTACAGGAAAAAGAGAGAGGAAGACAGGTAGCAATGTAGGGATGCACCGACTTTTCGGTCACCGAAACACTTGGCTGAAAATGGTCAAAAGTGGCGCTTTTGGTTTCTGTCCAAGAGAATAAAGAAGGCCACAAATAACCCAAAAAAATCCAAACGATCACACAGGACTTCAATTATGTGTTACAATCTTACATTTAAATAATTTGAATGACAATGAAAAAGAGAAACAGGGATAAAAATGCTGTTTAGTTTCCTTCACTCTTCTGCACTGGTCAGCACTGATGTGATCAAACAGTTTGTGCAACAGCAGATCAACAGTGGAAAAAAAACTCAGTTATGTGGAGCCATGTCAAAGTTTATAAAGGGACATTTGACAAGTGATTTATAAACTCTGTTCATCCCAACTATCAGAAGAGTGCAAGACGCTCAAGAACGTCTGTGTTACAGGTTTGATACCACTTGAAAGCACGACATCCTGTTCAATACGCAGAAAACAGCAAAACAGCAGAAACAAAGGAAAAATCCTGCCAGCCACAGGTTTTGAAATGACTAAAAAATGTACAAAGAACAGAGCAAAACTGCAAAGTACAGCTAAAAAAATAATGAAATTCATTGTCTTGGATGACCAACTGACCTTTTGAGGACGTAGCACATCATGCCCTGTTGCAACAACTGCAGTAAGTCTATCAAATGTAAACTGATTTTATTCAGCTCAGTTTTGTCTTGAATTTCAGTTTTGGTTTCAGCGAGGAATTTTAATTTCGGTGTATCACTAGTGCAGTGGGCCAAAAGTAATCCGTTAGATTTATCCACTGCTTCACCCCGTGCAGTCTGTTTGTGGTCAAGTATTGATTCACTCAACCTGAGCCTCCTTAGCCTGCCTGCAGTCACTCTCTCTCCGTACATAAGCTCATCCAAGGAGACTCTAATCACTTTAGCTCTGGTTCTTCTGCTGTCACCCTGGCCTCCCTCACGTAACAACCCCCACAGACACACACATAAAGCCTCCCTGCATGAGCTCTGTAGGTCCAAGGAGCCGTGGGGTGTCTGTCTGCTGATCAGGAGGTTTATTGATTACCAATTGCCTCACCTGTCTCTCCCTGTAGGGAGTCTGAAACGAATAGAGTCTAACAGCCCCATGCTTTCAGAGCAGGGCTCAACCGATATGGTTGGTATTCTTTTGTAACTATGTCCAAGACTGATTTTGAGGAGTGAAATATTCTGAATTATAGTGGCCGATGCAATTTAATATGGTCAAAGATCAAACAGATTACAACAGGTTTAGTTAAACAGTGCTTTACTGGCTCGTATAGCTGTCTGGTGTAAAATATGATTGTCATCTTTCTTAAACTTAAACTAACAGCTGAAACAGCTTCTCAGCATTCTTAGCACCCCAGGGACCCGAAATGCATGTTTTCAGTCTATGTTGGCTGGTCTTGCTCTTATGGGCACAAGTGTATACATGTATAAAGTATGTCTTGTTAATAACTTTCCAATGTCCAATAAATGGCTGACATATTTTGCCAACACTCTCCTCTTTCGATGTAAACTGGGCAGTCCTAATCTTGGGTACTGGGTACAACGGCTTCCTTCCCTCTGTTGGAGAAACTCCAGTGAACATAGTGAACATAGCTTGGCTAGCAAGAACATCCATTCATCCATTTCTTCGGTCACCCAGCCACGTCAGCATTCTCTGCATGCACATCCAACAGTAAAGTGAATAAGAACCTCCTTTGATACACAGCATATAAAAGCTGGACAATGTTTTTAGTGAGTCATGAACACAGTTTAGACTTCATCATGACTTCTTTTGTATTTTAACATAATCGTGCTAAAGGCAAGGTGGGGATGCATTTTCACCATTTTAACCATGACAGTGTTTTGTGTTCAACCTTACGTCCGTCTGTATGTCTGTAATAAAACAGAACAATTAACCCTTTTTTGGTCTCTATACAGACTAATGTGAGGAACTGAAGCCAATGAAATCACATTAACCAAATCTTCAATGGGGAACTATTAATTTCATGTGGAGCTAAGAACCTGACTGTACACGAGCCAGACACAATACTTTAGAAGTGTTTAATAGTGTTTCACTTTATAAATAGTCATTGCAATGCTAATTTCCATTAATGTCTATTTTGTAGAGTTATGTTAGCGTCAAGCTAACAGTGGTGTACATGTACTTTTCTTTCCACATTGTTTTCAAAACTAAGATTACACTGGCAGTTAAACACAGAAATATATTACACTAAATCCTCCAATAAACATAAATATATGTAAACTTTAGTAAACTTTAAATGCAGCCTAAAGGCCTTTTCACACCGATTTATTCATGTGATTTATTCAGGTATCAATAATTGAATTCACAGATATAAATGATAATATCTTGCATAGACAAAAACGCCATGTTATTTGATTGAATTGGATTTTTGAGAACTTTTACAGGCCACACAAACTCGCTCGACCAACCACTGGTGTGTATGGCATTGGAATAGTAACAACTGAGATGATGTGTCCAAGCAACTGGAGCTTTTTAAACACCGAAAGCAGCTCAAATGGAGCTACAGCAATCTGAAGTGTGAAAGCACTAACTCCTGAAATAGGTGGTAAAATTTTCCATTCTTTTTGCTTTTCCAAAACTGAAAGTAGCTGATCCAGTGTCACCAGGTGCTCATTTTGTGAGGCGCAAAGGATATAAAGCGAACAACACAGCACAATTAAAAAAAAAAAAATTGTGTTGCGCAGCTGTGCATGTTTTAATGTGAAAAAAACTGTCTAAATATTTCACGTTTTCATGTCGTTTATTCATATCGTGTTTGGTGTGTTACAACGTTAACTTTTACTATTATTAACGGAGGAGCCTGACAGCATCTCAGTTTAACCCCAGGGCCAATCGATGGGCCCAAAGTTTCATTACAAACTTCTATAACCAGAATAGCTCAACCAGTTTGCACTGAGGTCCCTATAGTTACTGAATAATAGGCCTTGGTATGTAATAAGCTTGGGATTTTAGGGAGGGGGTGGTGTTAAACAAAGCAAAGTCCTTATGTTTAGTGCAGTTTTGGGCATTTTATTTCATACACATTAAGAAGCCTCTTCCTTCCTATGTATCAATACTATATTCTGTAGTCCATGTAAAGATGATAATTGTCACAGATTATTTCAAGACTGCAAAATACGTTCACCTGACAAAAATTAGTCACCTGTGACTGAAACGTACCTTATAGCATGTAATACCTCCATGATTTAAATGAGTGATTCGAATTGGCATGGACTGGACATGTTTCTGGACGTAGGCAACATCCATGTTCAGTCACTCTTGCATCAAAGAACTGCGCAGTTCGGCCAGATTTCGTGGACACCTTTCCCGGCGTCTTACTCGTTGTTCCAGGCAGTCCCACAGATTTTCAAGAGGATTCAAATCTGGTATTTTGCGGTCCAGTCCAGATGTGTGAATGCTCCTGAATGTTCATCATGCCAATCAAACACATTTGCAGCCCTGTGAACGCGAGAATTGTCATCTTGGAATACAGGGATAGGAATGTTATGTTCCTCCATAAGATAATAAACCAAAGCACCCATTTCAACCAAAGGACTAACCTAAGGACCCATTTCACTGTAATTAAAACACAACCAGAACATCACAGAGCTCCTCCAGCTTGAACCACACCTTGCACGCCGTCCTCACCGAAGGCTTCCTGAGGTCTACGATGAACATGACGCCTAGCATCATTCACATACACGCAGAAACGAGCTTTATCTGACCAGATAACACGTTTCCAGTCATGAAGAGTCCAATTTTTGAGTCTCTTTGCCCACTTTGCAACTTTATGAGCAGAAGTGAGCAAAGGCTTCTTGTGTGCCACTCCACTCCATATGTTCAGGGTATGGAGTTCCCTGCGGAGTGTTCTTTCAGAAATTGGTTGTGAAGGACCTGTGTTGACTTCTACAAGCAATTCTTGCCTGAAAGCGAAGCGATTTTTATTCATAAGCCGTGAAACACGCCGGCGGTCCCTGTTCGTCAATTTCGTCTTTCGGCCACAATTCAACGAGAATTTCCTGTATTGTCCGTGCATCGAACGAGACAATCACTGCGCTGTACCACCTCTTCTCAATCTATGAATCCTGTCGCACACCCTGCAGGTATTTATAGCCCGGTCATCCTTGTGCAACGCCATCTGCAGGAGCCTGAAGTTACTACCAACTTAAACATGCAAGGTGACTATTTTTTTGTCTGGGGAGCATATCTTGTTCCATTGTTACAGAATTCAGTTCAGTTGATGTGAATGGTCAAACGTGTACATGTATGGATTACTTTACAATGGCTTTAAACATGGCTCAGATTTTAGAACTGGAACTAGTTTTATAATAAGCATCTTATCAATATTGGAGCATTATTAGCAGGATTTTCATCACTTCTGGCAGATCTATAGGAAGTAAATACTGTATCATACGTAATTTAGAGCTTCAGATGTGCCTCCTTATGTATGATCAGCTTCTTCCTGTCTGCATGAATGTGTTCATTAGCACAGAGGAGGCTAAAACTAATGCTAAACAGAGACACTGTACGAGTCTTGTTGCTTGTCTGCATGAGTATTTTCTGGATTACGGCTTTGTGGGATTCTCTCTTCACCTTAATCTGCTTTCGTTTTTCCTTCACCACCTCTCTCTCTTTCTGTCTATTATTCGTTCTCTGTTTTTCCTTCCTGTGGAGAATGCGCCCTCGCACACACACACAAACACATTCACTCTACGTGGGCACATACACACAAACACACACACAAACACACACTCAAACACACACCCACACAATGTGACAAATTATCAGACACAAACAACCTGCTCATCTCTCCAATCACTCCGTCTGCTCTTCCAAAATGTTTCCCCCTGCATATGTGTGTGTGTGTGTGTCTGTGTGTGTGTGTGTGTGTCTGTGTGTGTGTGTGTGTGTCTGGTTCATTAACCCCAACAAAAACAGTAGTGGTCTAGCCAAGTAAAAC